ACGCGGTCAACGGATATCGCACATATTAATGTGTTGAAACGCAAAAACAAAACAATAGTCGTCAAACTAGACAACATTATACATGACCTACAAAAGCGTGGCGAACTTGAAGTTTTTCAGAGGCTAGTCTAATATTTCACCCACTCCGCGGCTAGCATCCGCAATAACTTGATAAAGGCATATCAATTATAATACGAAATAATTACACTTTTAAACATTATTTTTGTTATAACTTTTGAGCATTACATAATAATATTTTTGTGCTTGTCGTTATTATCTTTTCAGCTTGAAGTCAGCACCAACGCTATTGTACATCTGTATTAAATTTGAAAAAAATTGAAATTGGCTACAACGATTTGATATTAAGACACTGTCGTATTAATTGTACCTGGTCGAAGTTACTAAACTACTATTATAGTTTATATTAAATGATCACCTATTGGTCAATATATATGTCCAACTACTACCCCTAAGAAACTAAGAGGCGGTCGCCTCTCAAATATCTTCTTCGTCACGCCACTGGTAGGTACGTATACTATGCATGGATATGGATCATATTGTTATCGGCTGGTGGCATCGATAACTATTAGGAAAACAATTTAAAGGAGGGCCGGAATTTCGGTGTATTTTGCATTGTTTTCCTAGATGTCTTATTAAAGTTTCAAGTATTTTTGAATGTCATTAAGCATTTTTTTAGGGAATTACATTCCCAGTCTTAATAATAAGTTATGCGTATAGTAAGTCATAAAGTCGATATAAAGAATTCCGTTGGGTTATTTTTAATTTGTACACATTTCTGAAGTTATATTTATTGATGTTTTTTTTTATTGTTTAATTTAATTAGTGAATGCGGTATATATATTATGGCTTCTTGATTTACATAATAATTATTAGGCACTAAAGGGCTTTTTTTCAGGGATTTTTCCCCCTAAACATTTTTTTGGAACATTGCAGTTTGGCAGTGATCGACGATCGAACATCTTTGTGATAGGAAAAGTGTCTTTTCTTACTAATTGACGCATATGAAAGGTTTTCAAGTTTTTGAATAACTCGTCCGTCAAATATTTTTTCAACGAATTCGGTTTGGCAGTCACAGGCGTGCGTGAAAATATTATATTTTCTGTAGTTTAAACGATTTAATAATAGGAATTTATTTTCACCGGGATATCAGGTTTCCATTTGTACCTATACATCAATAAATAATAAGATGTTATCGTTTCCAGATAGATAAGTTACTGGTGATTCTATTTGGTTATTTCAAATGCATATGGGGTACAATGCAGTCTATATTGAACTTTTCTGCTACGAGGGGAGAGACGTAACAGTTTACTCAACACACTGTGGTATGTAACCTACTCTGAATTTTATACAGTTCAATATTATGTACCAATATTGTAAAATACCCAACCTACCGGTATATTTATCGATCAAGAGTAATAAATATAGGTAGTTGAAGTTAACTCAAACTCACTCATTGTCGTATATCATACATTTAATTTTTAATCGCATAATTCTTAAACATAACGTAATCATATATATGTTCTCCGACAGGTCATATATATACAGTGGAGTACATTAAAAATTGCTATATTATGTTATTAATTATTTATAGTAAAAATTCTAATCTCTTTTTTTATTGGATAGTTCAACAAGCAATTTATCAAGAGTAACTGAATCGTTTTTGTCGATGGAGAGGATAGCTAGACTATTAAGTATTCCATATTAAAATTAATTACAACATTAAATTAAGTTGATTGTAATCATTAAATTTAAACTTCTTTTAATATTCTATTTAAACTTTTTGTTGTTTGCTGACTACTGATATTTTGATAGGAAAATTGTAATTAATATCAAGAACCCAAAATTTTCTCAAAATGTCTTCTATTGCACTTTGCGTTAACAATGTATTTGTGTAATGTGCAATGTCAAAAATATTATAACTTGAAGATGCACAGTTAATATCTATAGTCGAATATGTAAACTGAGTGGTATTTGTAACAGATGCGGATAAAGATGATGAGAACTAGGGGCACTGATAACTATTGGAGTTGGATTCAATGAATTTGACACTGAATTTATTACTGAGGGTGGTTTTGAAGAAAAAAAATTGAATTTTCGAATGTTTTTTTTCAGCCATGACTACTATTTATTTTACCTTCAAACCCTAAAATATATCGAATGATGATGATAATGATGCGATATTCATAATTAAACAATTGTTAATTAGTAAGTCATTTTATTATAGACATTTATAACTGATATGCCTACCTACCTCAAAGTCTGTGGTTATTCCTTACCAGTCTGCAGTCTATGATTGTAAAATATATACATAATAAGGAAATCATGCGAATATGGTTTTAAAAAATTGATAACTGTTATATCAATGATAAAAAAAGTTATATTATTTGTGAGGCACAATTTTATTAATGAAAAAGTAATGAAAGATGATAAAAATAATTTTAGGTAATGCAAATGTAATTTAAATAGTAATATTTGAATTAACGAGTGGAGTAGTTTCATTACTTTTCAAAAGTAATTTACCCAACACTAAATATGTACGTGTATTAATAATTGCTTTAAATAAATATTATTTTATACAACTATTTTTAAAATTTAAAATTCATCAATAATAGGTATATCACGATTTTTTTTTTGGCCCTGAGGGGGAGGGGTCAACCCCCTCCCCTCGTATATACTCCACTGAATATATACATAAAATATATGGAATACATTTCAAAGATTTTTGGGATTTATCCGGTCTGGACTTAAATAATACTGAAACGCTTCTTATAGACATGGAAACTACTGAACCCCTTGGCAACAAATTTTACGCACATTTTCCTTGAGACTCGAGAAGTGTTCTTTGCAAACCTATAAGACAGTGGCGTAGCCAGGGGGAGGCTGAGGGGGCTGCAGCCCCCCCCCCCCGAAATGTTAATAAAATTTAAAAATTATTTTAATGGTCTATGGTATTCGATCAAAAACTAAACCACCGCTGTGTAAAAAATTGATCAGCCCCCTCCGAAAAAAAATCCTGGCTACGCCACTGCTATAGGATGATCATATACTATAGAGTGGCTTTATAATATATACAAATGTTGGTTATAGGGCGAATCACCCACAAATTTTGATTTGGCTCACGAAAATCAAATAACTTTTTGTTTATATTAGATAGGTAGTGCTATTACACGACTGTACCTAATATATGACTCAATTAATTACTAGATAGAATTATTGATACACACAATGCGTACCAATACTATTAGATACATATATTTTAGTATAGATTATAATATTAGACATTAGTATAGTTTATCGACTATCACAGAGACTGTTACAGTATTAAGATAAATAAATAAAGCATTTTACTTTTATATGATCATTTGGACCTCTGACCTGCAGCACATAACAACAATAAAGAATTAAATCCAACGATGTTAACATGATTGCTCAAAACTAACAAGATGCATATTAAAAATTAGTTTTAAACTCGAAACATTATTCATGAAATTTCAAGAGAACAATATTTTGGATATCAGGGTTTTTATTATTCTAAATAGGCTAGGTATAGCGCATCCTTATAAAAGCCACAAGTGCCTTTAATTTCAGGTTACTTTAAATTTTATTGACAACTCATATTTAAAAAAATACTGCCTTGATTGTTACATAAATACAATTGTTTTCTGACCATTTTTCATTGTTAGAGTTTTTACTCTAAAATCACTTTTTTATGCTGTTTTGTTTATTTTGAGTGGAAAAGTTTTTACTTCTGAAAATAATCTTCCTAATCGTATCCTCTTAGAAAACAATAGTAATCACTAATTAAAATCCGTCGTCCACATAACATATTGTGTAATATATATTGCATCGACTTTAATCCACCTATTATAGACCAGAGTTCAGCAATTTTTGTTTTTGACCACTTAAGGAATTTGTAAAATCAATTGACATAATGTATTAATGTTCATATTTATCTAAACCAATTAAAGGCAAAGTATCAAAAAGTAAATTTAAAATTAGTGAAAACCTTATTTCAATCACTATAGAACGAAAAATAGTTTTAAGAATATATTTCTCGTCAGTTGGCCAGATAAATTACGATCTAGAGGCTGACATTCGGTGACCTCTGCAGATATAAAGATATAGTTGTATTATAACCCCTCTAGTTCATCTTGGCACTCAGCAACAGCTACGATTTAAAAAAAAAACGGTGGTCCGACAACATAGGTACCTAATATATTTTTATACGGACCAAATTTGCTTACAGCTATGTTTTAAACACTTTTAATGATGTTGGTTGTTTTTCTTTAGACATAGAGCAAGTGCTGTTGAGAAAATTACCTCTTCAAAGTACCATTCATACTCGATTTAGGTTCTTCAAACGTACTAGGCTGCTAACTATATATATTAACTACCTACATATTTACGCATAGAACATTTTTAGCACTAGATATAGCTTGTCCCCTCTACCTAAAAAAATTCCACGAAACAACATCATAATATAAAATGTATAAGCTCATTAAAATTTTCCTCACACAACATCTAAAAATGTATAAATAGAACAAATAAACAATAGACAATTATACTACCTATCAACATTTATTTTACCTTTTATACATCTTATTAATAAATTGTATTTTACAACTATGATATAAATACTTAATCATAATTTTAACAAACATTGACATATAAAAATAATTCATATTATACATGTGAGAATTCGATGTACAACCAAAACTTATATTTTGGAAAATAACAACATAATTTACAAATATTAAATTTAATAACAGCAATTTATAATATTAATAAAAGTAGTTAAATGCAATTTTGACACTCATTTTATTTAAGTACTATCTACTAGTATAGTACTACCTAACCTAAACATAGAAGTTTAATTTGTATTTCAATGTTAAAAAAAAAAATTTTTTTTTACAGTAGGTACATATTATTTCATTGTGGTACATCATCATAATTCATAACATTCAAAACTATTTTGTATATTTTCATTTATTATCACATAAGTGTTAATTATAATGTTTTTTTTTTATTAGATAAATAAAACTCAAAATAGATGATTGAGCAATTTTAGTTTGGTAATAACTACTATCACATATTTTAATTTAAGTAACTATTTATTATACCTAATAAAAATAATATTACTTTACATCAACACACCGTTTAAGTTATAAATTAAAAAATATAAAACATTTTTACATCACCAAAACTAGCTTTGTGACGATTAATCGCCTTAAACGTGTTCTGTATGCTAACATATTATTTATAACTTGAAAAAATAAAATTTTAAAAACGCTTTAATATAAATAAACTTGTATGACACTAATCATAGTCCAGAATATAGTATTAACTATTATAGATATCTACTTGTTTTTAATTAATAAAATCAAGAATATTTATTTTGGTAAACATTGTTGCAAAAGTAATACTATATGTTATAAAGGTTTGACTATTATTTATTATATTAATACATTATTGTATTGTTCTTAAGACATTTTATGTTTTCCTTTCATTTGTGGGCCTGAAAATAAATTTTAAATACTGATTATTTTTTATCCTAAAAAACAGCACATTTTTATTTATTTGAAAAAAACTATGAAATATATGTAGTGTTTAATGTTTAAACATACTTGAAAACCATGAACACATTTTGTGACCAATCAGCAAACACAGAAATGGCATAATAAAAGCCGTTACTGCAAAGTAAATGATCACTTCCGTCAAACTTGCTGTCACTTCTCCGATGATAAGATACACCCATCTTCCAGTTGTAAATTTATTATAAAGTAAACTACAAGTATAAACAAACATACCAGCTATAGTCTCAGTTAACAAACAAATAATTATAGTTATACATAAAAATGTGGAAAGTATAGGAAACCGCTCTGCTTACAGTATACTATGGAGTGTACCTATAGCATTGATTAAGTCACAATAAATTGTAATGAATGTCTAAATTTTGAATTTAATGATAAATAATTGCATATGAAAAATGATTCTGAGCGAAAACTATCAGTTAGTTTCTATATAGCTAGGCAAGTAGATGTTATGAAACATTTATATATTGCCTTTATAATAATTTATTTTTGCCAAAAGTATTGTACTTATTAGTGTTATTAACTTTTTACTCAAGGTAAGCCAGGAACATAATATAGTCAATTTAATAGATTCGTGGTAATAATAGGCAAAACCAGAAAATTAATCTAAATGTTTTGAAAATGTCATTGTGACATTTGTGTTTATAAAATATGATAAACTACGTAAAAGTTTCAAATCGCAACAGAATTCACATTCGTTTTTATATATATTGAATTATAAAAAAATAAATAAAATCGTAATTCTTCGTTTGAATATGAAATTTTAATATTTTACCCGAATTTCAACTTAAAATATCTATAACAACAAATTAGGTTTATATATTATATTATATTATTTTATATTATACACGGTGATTCACCACGTATGTTGTTCAACCCCTTTTTCTTCAATAACGCGGTCATTCAATACCTGATCGAGTTTTTATTAGGTAGTACTTAAAGAGTATCCTGTGGTGATACAAACTTCAGATTTTCAAATGAGAATCCGCCTTTAATACAGTGAATTATTAAGTGGATAAGTTTTCTGAAAATGTTGACGTATATCAAAATCAAAATTCGAACCATTAGTTCTTGAGCTATTTAACTTCATTCACGGATAATAGGTCCATGATAATGGGTTTGGATGATATAGGGGCTAAAGTTATTTTAAAATTCAAGTAATTTTTAGTAATGAACCAACATTATGCATTAAATTCAAATTTTGAATGTTTTTACATAAGCACATAATTTGTAAAAATAGTCCAAGTATAATAAATACTAAATCCAATATTACATCCACAATTTATTTTTGTAAAACCATTTTTAAAGACGATTTTTTTTAGGATGTCTTTAAAAGTTATATGGGTTATCAATAAAAGTAGTGGAATTGGGGTCATTTGGTGTAAACAATAGGTTTTAAAGTTCAAATTCAAACCATGTTAAACTATTCCTAACATTTGTTTGTATGATCTATACAATTTGTAAAGTTCTTGACCCAATTATCTTAGTATTAAATCTTAATATTACCTTGACTATTACTGATAACTAAATGTTTAGGTTATTATTCTTTATCGCAAGGTTATTACTTATTAGTAGCAATTACTAATTACAGATTAACCAAACACCCAAGTCAATCTGATTTTAAGGTTTCTAATATTTCATTTAATGTTAATAACAACTAAATAGGTATATTTGATTTTCAAAAATACTGGAAATAAGATAATAGTACCTATTTCTCATTAAATATTTTGAAAATTGCATTATGTATAGTAATTAATAATACACGCAGATTATGCAGTAACAAAAAGTTTCAACGAATAGTATTTTCCGTTTAAATATTCAATTTTGATCGATTTGTGTAACAACTATCTTGAAAAGTACTGAGAATTTTTAATTTCTGAAACCTCCCCCCCTAAGTAATACTTAGATCAAAATACTAAAGTATTTATAAACAATGATAGTACCCACTATTTTTTTCAAACTTTATTAAAATATCATTACGTGGTTTCCCCAACTGTGTTCTAACTTTTATAATGATTTTGTCCAAATGGCAAATATCTACAATACTTTACTGATACTTCATTAAAATTAATCAATATTACAATTTCAGATGGGTTATTTCTATTTCAAAATGACAAAATGTATTATTCAGACAATATATTATATTATTTATAAAAACTAACCTAAATACCAATCTGACACTGCCACCTGCTAATGCTTGTACCTAATAGGCAAGGACTCGAATAAATGTTCATATAGTTACCACTGTTAACAGCCTGTGACAAGAATTCTTTCATATTATTTATATACGACTTATTTCTATACATATACCCATGCATAATCGTAATCATAATACATTACACCATTTGATTTAAGTCAACTAATATGTTTCTCAATCATGGGAAGTACTGCACTATAAAGTAAGTAGTAAGTACCTACATGAGTAATTATATATAATTGTCTGTAGAATTATCGATTGATGAAACGATTGTCATTTCAAAGTATCATTATAGAGTAAAAAATGGAATTTAAAATTAAAATCGTACATTTACTTCTGCGTATTTTATAAAATGCAATATGTATGTACCTCAAGTTCAATTTATATAAGTTGAGTTTACCCTTGAAAATGTGCACGCACATGGTTTGTAATAATTAATCGCATTAATTCATTTATATTTGAACATTATAGTGTTGCAATATCGTGGATTGTTTTTCAGTACTATTTATATATTTTTTTTTGTGACTTGGTACCTATTTAATTATATTATACTAGAATACCTTAACAATTAACAAACATTGAAATAAATATGACTGAGTAATCGATATTATGAATGGGGTCTTACCATGTGACGTATGAGCCAGACAGCGCGAACAGCCCGGCCGTGGATTCGATTAGTTTTGGAAGATGATGCTTGGTGGTGGCCATATCGAATAACGTTAACACGATCGGATTAGTGTGCACGGCGTGGTTGTACCAGTCCGGTATCCAATTGTTCATTTCGTTTGGAAATAACAGAGGCTTGTTCACTGCACATATTACCCAAAACATAACACAGACATCCTACATAACATATAATATTGTACAAATTATAGATTGCTAATGAAATTATGAAACGCATATTAAATGTTATTAAATAATTAATAGTGTTATTTACCAAATTTTATGAATATATGATGAATTGAGTTATTAACCTACACATTAATTACAATTCTGATTTTTAATTCGTTTGTGTTCGTATCACCGCGGGACAGTCCTTCAATTAACGAAAATACTCATTATTTGAGAATATTATAATATTTTTAAGTAAGTATACTTAAAAATTCGAAATTCTGAATAAATGTATTACCCATCTATAAACATCATTCATAGAAATGGGGCGAAAAACTGAAAAAATTATCCTACATCTTTACACATACATACATACATACATACCTATTTAGTACATAAACATAATATTTATATAAATAATAAATATTACACGTATTCAACACCATTATTATATATTATATTACATATCACGTAAATGTGCATAAATATTTAATTAGATTCAATTATTATCAATTTTTTAAACAGTTTTATGTTCAGTTTAAAATTTAGATTTTTATCTTTTAGTGAGTGTCGTTAATGGATGACTTCTCACAACCCGTGTATTCCTGTAAATATATGTTTAGGTTAGTATTTTGTACTAATGTTAATTGTATATGTTGTATCCTCTCATTGCATGTACTCATTGTGCCTCATAGGTACAGATTGCTTATTCCAAATACAGAAAAAAAAAGATTTTTATCTTATTAAGGGTACCTATTATTAACATTCTAATAGGAGATGTTGCTAATATTTGATATAGTGTAAAGTATTATTTGTCATTATTTAAATATTTACTTGACAAAAACGGAAATCATAAATGTAGAATATTGAATAAAATATTGAAGGTTAATTTGTGTTATGGAACGTTTAAAGAAGATGTGCGTGTAGAATACTTTTAAAAAGAATGCAATTTTAATTAGTACAACTAACAATCATCAATCGCACTAACCTTGAATTATGTTAAAGAAAGAGTGTAATACAATATAATGTATATATAACATTAATTCAATATTGATAATCGTAAATCATAACACTCATTAAAAATTACCTACTCATCATTCGACAACATTCATAAGACTTTAAATTTTAACTTTTATTCATCAATACTATTTAAAATATATTAGATACATAAGTAATCTAAAAAAGATATAGTAGTTGTAATTATTACGATTAAAATATTATTAACTATACATATTATAATAATGTATCAATACAAACTATTTCTAATATTTTTTAGGTATGCATAATGCATATGAACCATAAATTAAATACATAAATATACATTTTTAGTTGAAAAAATTCTTCAATAAATTCCATAAGTACTAAGTTGTAATTGTTTATTCAAATAAATAATGCTTACAATTGTTACTGGAAATACAAGACTAACAAATATGAAATCCCTTATTTTCTTGTTCTGTTGTAATCTAGGTTTCATCCACGACTTTCCAGGGCCTGAATCGGCATAGTCTATGAAAACTGTGCAATAAATAAAGTAAGCAACTTGCAATATCTGTAAAAAAATTAAATTAAACTGCATTACATATAAATACAATTAGTAATAATGAAAACAAAATTATTTTATTACATATAAATTATAAAAACTAAGATTTTTTTAGTTAACAGATGTACAACAAAAATATATACGAGTATATTCCTGAAAACTATCTCGGAAGGCACAGGTTACAATGGCCTTGAGACCTAATTTAATTTAAACACCATAAGCTCATAAATTCATGTCTAAGTGCCGTCATTACAGGATGGTACTTCCCCCAACGCCATCAAGCCTTCTTAATGTATTAAATAAATAAATGTCATCTCTCATCACTCATCACCTATATGCTTATTGTACCAAATTTGTACAGATTGTAGAATTATTGAAATTAAAAAAAAATGTAATGTAATATTCATTGTTAAAAAAGTCAAAAAATGAATTTTAAATAATAATGCGATTACCGATTGGTTTTTTCCCTCATATTTCATAGTTGTAAGTTATAATACATAATGCAACGTGAGACCTATAGCCTATTGGTACCTACATCATTATATACATAATATAATATAATATACAGCCATAATAATATAACTTAAATTAATATAACGCATGTACATTGTACATATATGATATCAAAATACTGTATGGTATGCTATTTTTCAAGACTGTGATAGTATTTATTTCGTAATATTATTTACAATAAAAGTACCAAGTTAGTAATAATTCAAAATGTGTACTTGTATATTTAACAACATCACACATAATATATGATATTTAATATTTATAATACCATAACCGATAATATACATAATATATATTATGTATATAAATATGTTCTATTGTAATATTATTTATTTATTCCTCGGAAAATATATTACTGGCAACAATGATAATTTATAAAATAATTGCATTTCCTAGGAAACGTTTAAAATGACTTGAATTTTTTGACAGTGACTTCTTAAACTAATCGTTTATAGCACAATTTCCTAAATTTAACTAGTTTAAGAATAATTGTTAAAATTATAAATATTGACTAAAAGTTTTGTACATTTTCGACACTATATTGCAATGTTGTACCTACTACCTATATTAAGTTTTATGAACGTTAATTTTGTACTATTATAATCGTGATTCGTGGTATCTACCTATAGAGTTTGGGATCAACTTGGTTACCAAATGATACGTCAATATTTACACGTATTATATTATTTTTACAAAATAAAAATAATTGTATACATTATTATTTTAGAGGTATCCATAGGGCCATTTAGAGATGTCAGTTAAGAGAGATTACGCTGCACCTAATCTCTATTTTATGTAATAATTTTACAATATATGATTAGTTATCTTATCGGGCACATCGTATTGAAACATATATAGATACACAAAAATAGGATTTCATCCATGCAAACAAAAAACGTTTGGGTCTTTAATTTATTAATTCTTTTGATATATATATTCGGGAAACAGTGAGTTTAGGTAGAATCATTGGACAATCACAGGTTTTAGAATGTAATTATACATCAAAAATTTGAAACGTTAGACTAATAGAGGGACCTGTTGTGATGGTAATAAAATAAATAACTTAAAATACCTTATGTTAGTTTTAATTTATTTTGAAAATTAGTTTGAATGATAATTAATTTAGTTGTATACGTTTAGTTTGTATACAAATATTTTTCGTCTATCTGAAAACCATCTACCGTTGATTATATAACTATGCCTTAATCAGTACCTACTCAGATATTTGGAAATTCTTAGTTTAATTTTCTATATTTATTAAACGTTATCAAAAATTACAAGGAAATAATATCAATTTATACGCTTAAAACAGTAAAATTTCATTACTGTCTATTGATTTTTGACACTTGGCAGTGGTCAGTGACTAATAGGCGTGGATCTACAAATCTGTAATGGTGGCTACAATTTTTTTTCAGAAAGATAACAAGTAATTGTTAAAATATTATACATAATATATTACACATTTAAAAGGAGGAGGCTAAACCACTAAACTGCTAAAGCTCCTTAACCACATCCTTGGATTGTTGCCTATAGTTATAATGAAAGATAAAATACGTAGTAAACTCTGTCATTTTAGAAAAAATATGAATACCAAATACAAATTTTTTAAAAATAATTATATTTTTTTAAATGTATTATTGTTATAATTTGAACAATTTTAAAACATAGCATCTATAATAATTTCGTATTCAAGTAAAATTGTTTACTAAACGAGCCGCTGAATTTATCATAAGATTTATAACTTATAACTTAAGAGCGTTTATAGTTTAGACGAATAAGTGAAAATAGAAAAGCATAAAGATACACAGAAAAACATTAGTTTACTACTGTGCTCATCTTAACTTGAAATACTAATTGCAATAACAGTGTAAATAATTCACAACTTGTATAAAATTTTTATATGGCATTGAAAATCTCATAAAATTATTCTGCTTTGGAATATGAAATTAAAAATGAATTTTGCCTTTTAAAAAAGAAAACATTTTTTAAAATGATAACGATAAAAGTAAAAACTAAAAACTGTAAGTAATGAATTCAAATAATGGAAAAAAAAATTCAAAAAACGTTATTACTAGGTATTTAAGAAAATATGTATTTAACTTTACTACAGAATCATATACCTTGTATAATCCCTATGACCCTACACAATGTTTGTACATAAAAAAAATTAAAAATTCTTTGGATGTTGAACATAGTTTATAATAAACTTTTATTGGATGAGTAGCGAAAAATTGTTCCCATCAAAAACATATTATAATGTAATTAAATTTGATCAACTTAAAAAATGTACTTTGCTGAAAAACTATTATCATGGTCCATGACAATAAAATAAATTATAATTGAGTCATTATACCAAATTTTTGGATGGTATTGTCATTAAACGTAAAAAGAAATGTATATTCATAATGTGTACTTTGTACACAAATTATAAGTTTTAAAATAGATATAGGGATTTTACACATGACTTAGAATTGTAGAGTTACGGACAAATTCTGAGTCAAATTTAATACCCTATGTGTGAATACGGCCGTATTGGGCGCATGTTTTAGAACCCCTTGTTTTAAATTAACAAGTTTTAGAAAAACTATATTTTAGAATATGAACATTTAAGAAAAAATGAGTTATACCATATTTATAAGTTTATGGGGCTATTAATAATAAGTAATAATTTAAGGCATTGAAAATAATCATATTTTTTTTTTGTATATAAACAGACGAAAACTATTATCATAGTTCTTTTTATATTACTAGCTGTACCACCCGTCATTGCCCAAGAAAAAGATTTGTTTTTTTTAATAAATATATTTGTAAAAAATGTACCATTTTTCTACTAATAATTAGTATTATTTTTTTTTTTAAATTAAACTAAAGCCCGGAAATTATGGCTATTAGCTGTTTGTAGGAGGGAACGGTTGGTTTTAGAACACGTATTGTATGTGTGGCAAGAGTTTTGTTGCTAAAAATCTCGATCACCCATTCGGGAGCTAGCAACGCCGGTCGGTACGTACTCAGAGCGTTTCCGTAGATTGAGGTTACGACCGCGCCTCACCAAAATCAATTAGTATTATTATAGTAATATAATATGTTATCAATGGCAAATATATAAATAAACAAAAAAAATTTTCTTTTTTCGAGAACTGAAAAAAATTCGTGTGTGAGTTACTATTTAGACACTTAGGGATTGAAGTGATTGAACAAATAAACTTTAAACACCCTGCAAGTCTCGAGGAAACTATTAATACTTATAACTTTTATTGAAAACGGTCCAAATGTTTTTGAGTCAATAACTTCGGATAAACCAAAAGAGGTTAAAAATATAGTGACCAAATATAAAAACTTTTATATACGATCAATTATATTAAAATATGTAACTGCTGTGGCAACCATGTATAATACAAGAAAATATTCGATTACCGTTTATCGAGTCAAAGTAAATACAATTAAAGAATAAATACTAATTTCCCACTATTACTATATTATTATAATATATTAATATGTAACCAATGGCAACCATTTATATCTATACCTATACAAAAATTTCACGGAAAAAGACCTTTCAGTTTTTCCCAAATTTTTTAATTTTCTGGACTACTTTTCCCATTTTTCTTTCTACAAAAAACCTCATTTGGAATATTACAAACATTTATAAAAATAAATGAGACGAATCGATTCAGCTGTTCTCGGTTGATGCTAATACCAACGAACAGCTTTTCATTTTAAATACATTAGATTAATATTTTTTTTTATTTGTAAATGAACGATGAAAACTATAATTACGATTTTTATATTATTATTATTACATTTTTTTTACTTGTAAATTAATAAATTATAATATTGTACAAAATTATATTTGAGTAATATTGCAGAGTATGCAACATGCAGTAATAGCAATAAATAAAATACATTTTTCTACAAGAATTATATTCTAACTTCTAAGACATAGCTTTTCTAAAACTTAGCATTCCAAAACTTGTAATTCTAAAACTTGCCTGGTTGTCTCAATACCATGTTTAAGTACCCAAAAAAACAGAAATTCGGGATATTGCATTATTGGTGATCGACACTGCATGCATTTTATTCTTTTCAATGTTATTACTTATTACTTTATTGCATATTAATAACAAAAAAAAAACTCTGTGAATTTTCTATTTGAATATTTTTGGGTATATATAGATATTATATTATATATATTTATCCATTAAAGTTAATCTATAATATTTTTATTTTTATCGTGATGAAATTAGATGAAATGTATGATGATTAGTCTTGCAAAATTCAGGGACAAACACTTATATTGTGTAAAATTGATAATTGTGAGTAATTAAAAATATTAAATAAGTATTACCTTTTTTATACATGCAGATTAAGTATTGGGTACCTCAGATATCTGCTATAGATAAATATAAATTATAATATAGGCTAATGTCTACCAAATGTTGCATTTGATTTGATTACAGTAGAATCAAGCAAAATCATAATATATCTGTTTGACCGTTTATTTAGTATACAATTTTAAACTCCGTTCTTTTATGTGTACCTATAGAACAAACATCGCTGATTTTGCTTTATTATTTTTTTTTTCGTTCCGTTTGGTCACCTACTTAAGCGGGTTACAAACTACAAAGCCGGACGTGCAGTCAGCGAATAACCGTACAATGAATGTACCTACGGATAGCTTGCATTTTTTAAGTTTTTTACGTTTGACTCTGAATTTACTAATATTATATATATATATATACCAACACCATATACGTTGAATATTCATTTTTGACATTGTTTCGGTGTCAATTATAATACATTAATAATAGAAACGAATAAACCATTAATGCTGCATATCATATATTATTTTAAAATGGGACGTATGTAGTATCTGTAATAACTAATAACTAATAAGCAGGTCCTGAATAAATAATATACGAATTAAATATAGTTTTCACTCGGTGCATTTGTGTATTCTTATAGGTATTTTGTAAGACTCAAAATTGTATGTGAAAAATAATAAACTATTATTAATTTATTGATATGGCGTAAGTTAAATATAGTTCTTCAGAGACGGCTAGAATTGTTATTTAAAAATTGTTTTTTTATTTACTAGAAAAAAATAATCAGTGCCTGCCGCCTGGTTAATAGTACTTTTATTGGTCAAAAAAAGCACAATATACATAGCTACATAGATAATATTCTTCTGTTATCTATGCATAACTATGTGACGTAAATATGACGTGATATAAGGCTACTCATATAGTGATATTTACAAGAATTAAAGTGTACCTATATGCAGACATCATCAATTAACGACGATTTGCTTTGAGTTTATTTAATTTTCTAATTACCGGTCATTTCATAAATTGCTCCTATTATACTATAACGGAGATAATTAAAGATTAAAATATTTATATGGTTATGGATAAAAAATATTTTTTTAATTAATAATAATAACCTATTTTAATACACTAATGCCGGGTTGCATGAACAATCACTAAACATTTAACAAATCAATAGTGAGCTAATGGTCCTTTAAACATGATTTAGTGGCCCATGATAGGTCCATTAAATTTCATTGGACAGTTAAATTAATAAATTTTTCATGCAACCTAGCATAAATGTATAAACTATAAAGTGGAAATTTTTTAAATTGTTATTGTGTTATAGATATAAAAAAGGTTAGATGTACGAGTCAAATAAGTACATAATAAAATAGCAATTTTAATTATTTGGAACTTGTCTAGTAAAAAAATCATGAATGTATTGTTAAAATCCGATACAATACCCATAGAAAATTAAGAAAATTATATAATTTAATGTTATAAGACAACATATCTTTCAAGTATAAATTGTTCTGTCATTATTATTATTATTATTACATATAAACCACTTGATACTATACATAATTCTGAAAATTCTAATTCAATCCATTTTTTTAAGTGATGAATTAAAGACAAATTGGTAAGTTTATTTAATAATGTAGCTACAATGCTACATATTTGTCATTTGTTATAAATAATATTATTATTAAGTACCTACTAATAACTTAGATATACCAACTACCTACTAAATAACGTTAAGTCTTTCATACTAATATACCTAACAATTAAAAACTATTTTTCATGAATAAAATAAATTGAATGAATATTAATTGAATATAATATGTATTATAATATCTTCTATTATACTATTCCCATTGACACATAAATGATAACTGCAGATATGAAATAATATAAAAATGACATAAGGCATCAACTACCTACTGTAAAAAAGTGTATTAAACAGGAATTTTATGTTTAAATTTATAATTATTACAATACACTTGTTTAAACTTGTTTAGTTATATCACTGTTCGTAAAAACACTTAAATTGAGAATTTAATTTATAATGTAATATTATTATATATATTATTATGATTAAATGGTACCTATTAGAATTGTATTCTTGAAATACAAATTTATTCAGTATTTTGTTAGGTTAAATAATACTATTTTTATTTTTTTATCTATAAAATATAAAAAATACTATGCTGTAAAAAATATTTAAATTTAATATAAACATTAACGTAAATATCATACTTTACTGATAATAATATTATTTAAAGAGGAATTTTAAAAATTAATATTCGTTTACATTGTCTTCGTTGTTTTATAATAATATTTAAAACAAATCCTATATTTATTACATTGTGTTCCATATTTATTTATAAATGCATTAACATATTTTTTTTAGAGATCGTGTCTTACGCTAAATTATATTTAATTGTCTCATAATGTAATGATCAAAAACACGAAATAGCTAAGTGCATATTTCGACATCTTTTTAGAGTTTTTAGAGCCTAATTTATGATGTTAACGTATTATTACATACGTACCTACATTTTAGTTTCTCCACAATTAGATGGTTCGTAACAAATATGTATGTTCTAAATGTGGTTGTAAAAATTATAACTATTTTAGTTAGGGCAATATTATTATGTTAAAGTAGCAGCTCGCGTATTGATATAATAAATAATATATTGAATTAAACAGTAAACACCACTGTCGCAGCAGCAGCATTATCTTACCAGATTCCACACGGAGATGCATTTCCACCACCAGTTGGAACCTAAGTTGCCCCACGTGGGAAGATCGACCCCGTTCAGGTCCAACACAAACAGCCCGTAGTATGACACGTACACGTAATAGGACGTGATGAACAACCGGGACACCCTGAACAGATGCTGGCGCTCCGCTTCTGTGTACGACCAGCAGCGCAACGCGGAAGTCACGACAGCAGCTGCGGGCCGCTTCGTTGACGACAACGACGACGACGCTTCCATCGACGTGTATCGTGATGGTAACTCCATATATATTATATATGTATAATATAATAATATAGTGTACTAATATTATTATTATTATACGTAACGGTAACCGCGGTATATGGTAACGGCGAAGATATTGTTCAGGGCCTGCGTCGGTCGGCCACAGCGAGTGCTATGATAGGTATAATATTATTAGGTACCTACTGCTACTGCTGCAAATCCTGCTACACCGCTGCCGGACACTTGTGGCGGAACGCCACTGACAGTTCTACGAGAGAACCACGCGTTGTGGACCTATTATATATAATATTAAATACGTTTGTATAATAGTAATAATAATAATTGTATTATATGTATATTGTATTTTATTATATACCTATTATTATTGTGAGGTGGTAGGCGCAAGACTCACGCAAAACGTTACATTACGCGCGCATGTAACGCGCATCGTGCAAGGCCCGCGAATATTACTCCCACCACCCTATGCATATATGCAATAACAACGCTGTATACACACGAGCGCTCGGACAAAGCGATTTTTCGTCTATTATATTGTGTATTATTAATTATTATATCATTATACAGGGTGATTCACTGAGCAATAAACTTGCTCACCCTCCTCCCATTCCATCCTTTAATAATTAAATTATCCAAATTCTGATTTTTTGAATTTTTAAATGTGCGTAAATACTATAATATTATTTTAAGATCCTTGAGATTTATTTGTACTACTTAAAAAGTATCTTGTGATAACAAAAGCTTCTGTTTTTCAAATGAGAACCCCGCTTTATCACACAAAATTATTTAGTTCCTATAATGGTATACCTAATTCAAAATCTAATAGAGTAATTTTTTAGTTACTAAGATGTGTTTACTATAAAAGTATTCAAAAATGATTTTATAAAAATATAAAATAGATATAACATTGGATATAGTATTTACTATTTATTATACCTACTTAGTACTTGGTTAATTTTTTATAACTTATAAAATATGTTGATAGATTAATATTAGTAACTAAACCAAAGCCCGCGTATCTTCCTAACTTGTATTATCTATAACCATGATTATAATGCACCTACTATCCTAAGTACACAATGGCACAAAATTTATTTAACTCATTAAAATAACTCGCTTGTTCCAATTTTGATTTTAAAAGTTGACGTTTTCAGAAAAATTATTCTCTAAATAATTTACAATTTAAAACTTTAAAAGGTTCCCAATTGAAAAAAAAACATAAGTTTGCATCTTCGCAGGACATTTCTTAAGTAGTACAAACAAATCTCAAAAATGTGTAAATTAAGGTATTATAATAATTATAAGAACCTATAAATTCAAAAAAATTCAAAAATTAGATTTTGACTAACTGCATTTTTTGAAGAAAAATATGGGTGAGCATATACTTGGTGAATCATGCAGTATATATACAAACATGTGTCTTATTCTATTTGTACACACGAAGTATAAAATGCGCACACATTTTCTTTTGTTTTGTTTCTATAACGAGAATACACAATATTCAATGTATGTATATATTTATATATAACTATCATAGTGAATGTTATAACCACTACATTACATGTGAAGGTAGTTATATTTGATTCCGATAGTGACAATCGCTCAATTAAAACCTGTGAGTAATAAATATATATTATATAGTAATATTATACTATAATAATATAGTTAATGTGCGTACGTAGGTATGTCTAGCTATTGAAATGATATCTCATAGCCATAAGAAAAAAAGATTTTTTTTATCTTTATCGATTCTTCAATGTAACATATCATTATATTGACATATGCGATGATTAAAATATGTATTTCATACAATTTTGTGGCAAAATGATATCTGCAGTATAATATGCAAGCCGAGAGATTTAGCCAAGTTTTAGTGCAGTATGTATAAATCACGTGAAAGGTAACATTATATTGTAGGTATTTTATTAGTCACGGCGTATTCGAGATCTACAAAAAAACAGAGAGCCGGAAGATGAGAATAAACGGTTTAGCGATGACGAATGCACTTGTTGATTTATGTGTAAACTTTAACGACGTGTAAAAATTCAAACTTAAGTAAAATGAACCAATGCTTATAAATATTTAGTTTCTTAAACAGGATTTCAATTGTGCAGAGGTATATCTATACAATAAACAAATGGCAATAACGATCAACCTACATACTGCTTAAGAAGGCCTTATTTTGTAGATATTGCTATCGGTGAGATGTGAGGCCACTAATTAGTTTAATTAACTAGTTATATACAGGAGTAACCCTAGACCCCAGGATCTCTAAGTTATAACATTTAGGATAACTCTTTTAACACTGCAAAATGCAAATAATAAAACTATTTTCAAAAGTATTAAATTTTTCCAAAATATTGTTTTTGAAAAATGTATAAAAATTTACATACTTGTACTTGCAATTCTTATACTTCTATGTATTGCCATTTTATTTTTGCCATCCTTCATTGTTATCCATTTAACAACTCTTGCGTTTTAATTTCAATCTATATTTTTAATTTCATATGGTCTGAAACAGAATTTCTTTTTAAAATCTTGATAATATACAAAATAATATAGGGATAGTAATAGGATATTAAACTAATAGTTTTTATTAATTTATTTTTTAAATTTAGAAGAGCCTGTGCCATGTAGCCTGTAGGTACTCTGCTTGATATCTATAGGCTATAATATGAGCTTATATGGTTAACTATAGTGATCAACTCAAAAATTGTCCACAAAGGTGAGTAGGTATTTTATTGTTATCACAAACGGTGACTGTTTTTCTGAGACTGATTATTTATAGGAAAATATTGTGGTTAATACCCTCTGGACGTGATCATAATATAAATTATATACATAGCATAATAATATAATACGTATCGCACTGTCGTTGACAGAGTCATTATACCACAGCCACGGCTTAGTTATAAATCCGAGGCTCTTCGAAGATGACCTGTACAGTAAGTAAGCTCAGGCGTCGCATTCATGTTATTGTACATGGTAACCTCATTAATTTTCGTTGGTCATTAAGAAAATATTTATCGAAGGTGGCCATTTTATATACGCTGTTTAATGATTCCCAATAAAACCGTTTTCGCACCTTCCTAGATTGCATATGTAGATTTAATTATTTAGTTTTGTGCGTTGCAACAATATTTTGAGTTTATATATTTTAGTATTTTACGTTTATTTGTGAACTTCTTCGCTTCCTGGTGTCCAATGGTGCCAATCCAAGGTAAGACACACATAACTCGTATATTATAACCTATATAATAAATTTATTAGGTATTATATGTATAATGTATATGTTTAGTTTAACAAACCCGTGTAAAACATCGGTAAAATAATCATCAGCTGAATATCATATGATACTTATTTATGTACCTATTTATTTATATAAATACGTTGTACAAGTATACTTATACATATTTAGCAATACCTAACAGTATTACAGAACCTTTTCCCTATTATATATAGAATAAATAACATTGTAGACTTGTAGGCGACAACATTATTAGGTTTAGTGCAAATTCAGCGGAACAAAACACAACATAATAATAATATTATCTTGCGTAGTTACTAGTTGACGCCAAAATGTCATATTTAATATTATAATATATAGGATAACGTGGTCAGTTGGAATGTAGAGAACTCCTGAAATTATTCATTCAACCTAGTTATTATTTATTGGATAGGATTTATATAAATAGGCAACATACGGAGAGAGGATGTATTGCAATATTGGTAATACTAATATACAATGAATAATGTATTGTGATGTAGATATTAATAATATGTTTTATTGAAATATTTTTTTCTTGTCTGTCATCAGTCATCACGTTTTGGAAATTGGGAATAAATAATTGAACATTGAAGTTATAGTTCTGGTAGTATATTAAATCAAGTTCATACTTTTTTGGAACACAATGTTTATTTCTTCGTCAAAAATATTGAAAATTAAGGTGTTACAAGAAATGAAACTGTTATCGAAATTGTCGGTTAAAAAATTGTAATACTGGTCACCGGTTTTAAACTTTTAAACCGGTTCTGTCGTTAGCGGTGACCAATAACCGGTATTATATTCAAGATTACAGGTTAAAAATTAAGCGATAATCACTTCAAAAAAAATTACGGTTATCAATTGAATATTTCTAAAAAATTGTGTAACCCTTATCAAGTATGATTTAAGAATAGTTTTAAGAAGTTATTAATTATTAAAACTATTAGGTCTATATCGTAGCTACGATCTTATCATTATTTATGTAGCTAAAATAAATTAAACGTATTCTATATAGACATATAGTTCATAAATAACGGTAGTTGGTACTCAGAGTTTATAAATATCAGTGATCAGTTTTTAACCGGTTAAAACATATTATATCATATCGAACGGATTTATGATTTTGGTCTGCAATGCGCATGGCTAAAAGGAAAAATATGTAAGTCATAAGCCTATAACTTATATAAGCATCTTACCCTATACTTATCATATACAGTTATGTGGCAAAAATGATGTCAAACTGCCGATTTAAGCAAATTCTTATAATAGTAATATAAATAAAAATGTATCATATGAAGCTCAATAGACGCTGAACCATTTATGGTTATCTCCTTAGCTCAGAATCGTTTTTTTCCGTGTACAGTGATTAACTATTTAATTATACTATGTTATATCAAATCCATTTTAGTAGTGACCTGCTCGAAACCTACAATACAGCAGAAGTTATTTGCCTACTTATTCTGTCGTTAAAAATTTAGAGTTTTCCAAGAATTCGTTAATGATATAAGAAGACTGTAAATTATCTGAAACCATGCCTATAGATACCAATATCAGTTAAATAAATTAAATTTGATCTTGATGATGTGAATGATCAAATAATTTTGAATATTTATAAATGGATTGAATATTTACTGTTTTTATTCAAATAAATCAGTATCATCGACCAACGTCCAACCTCATAATGGAACATCAAAACATGAATTCCATAAATTAATATTTAAATTTTCGAGTATTGCCACTATTCACTTGTAAACTCTTCACTAATATATCACAAGGTATACAATATCCTTAACATAATTCACTGTACGGACAATGATATAGGCAATTGTATTATACAATCAAAGTGAATCAACTATTATTCTCTGATTAATTAGAATGGATTCACGAATGAGATTCATATATAAGTTGGGAACGGATTTTATTGTAAATACATAATTTTATCGGAATAAGATATTTTAAATCTGATCAAAATATGTATGATTTAGATCATTCTAATTGAAATAAATCCAAATTTATTTTAC